TATAATACTATTGTCATACCAAGTGGTCCAGAAAGTCAAACACGTGACCCAGATCAGTTTCAAGGGCCAAAGTGGTGTGGCTGGAGTCAACTGACCAGATTGGAACAGCAACGCTGTAACCTGAGAAAGTGTCAACAGCGGTGACGCACGGCCAAGAGCTCTGAGAGTGGGGGCGAAGACCCGAAGGAGGCACTCTGCCAGGAGCAGGCTGGACACTTCATGGAATGTGGTCTCCTTCACCGCAAGGCAACCAGGTCAACTTCTGGCAGGAGTCACAAGTCTGGCACCTAATGGTAGCTCTGCATCAAAAACACAGGCGTTTACTTTGTGTCCGGTCTCTAATGGTGGGTGTGCTGCCAAGTCTGGGACAGTGATGGATCCAGGCAACAGTGATGGCGATCTGGGTGGTGCCAGCTCAACCAACAGCATCATTCTACTTGTTACTTCAGAGAGTAACCCAGACAGCTCTGTCAGCAGTTTCCACGGTTTGTAGCCCCTGTGAGGGCATCTTTAATCTGCCAATCTGTAGTTTTTCCAAGTGATAGACAAAACCAAAGGTCATTATTAGCAACAGCCTAAGAGTCAGTAAAAATATAACAAGGCTCAACAAGGAGGGTATTAGCTGGAGCTCAGCATGGCTTTGAGTTCTGCCTACTGAGCAGGCCAACCTCATCCATTTTCCATTCTGTTTACCTGGCGCGAAACAGAGCAGCCACAGCAGCCTACTGACCACGACTGGGTTTCAGTTTAGGCAACCAAACAGTGAAAGAGGTAACTTAAATGTAGTTTTAACCGCCCATTGTAATCTTTATGAATCAGACACCACTGAGCCAGTGCCTTTGTTTCAGGCAGTGGAATGGGGGATAAAGTTTCCCCCAGATAGCTGCCACTTTTCCATGTAAATCCAAGATGCCACTGGGGCTAAGCCATCTGCATTCTTGAATATACCAAGTCCACGTGACAAGGGAGGCTTATGGGGGCCCTTCTCACCTTGGCAGTCCTGAGTGTTTCTGACCCCACTCCACAATGGAAGAATCAGGATGGATGATGGCTCAGATGTTCAGGTTTGACAAGCGCCCAGTGGTTTGCTAACAGTTTTTCAGAAGCTGGAGTGGGCAGGGGAGGTGGAGGCACTATCTCTATCTTTCAAGGGTGCTCACACATCCCCAAAAAGACAATCTAGGATCCAGGGGGCCAATGCCTCCTTAGAAGGATATACAGAAGTGCAAGACCTCTATGGAGAATTGTCTCCCAACAAGCATAAATTGTAGAAAAACATGAAATAATGCAAAAGAAATGTTTTGCTGTTTGTGCAGGAAGCTCTCAGATTTGTGGTGAGATATTCCTGGTCATGATTTATAAACAAATAAACAAATACTAAGGAGCTTTTAAGATTTCTAAAGCTCACCAATACCAACTCTGACCATCTTGACCCTCTCCACAAACTTATAATATATTAGATAAAAGGACTTGGGCAGTCCATCAAAGCCCAACTCAAGTACCATTTGCATTTTCAATTTTAATTTTCTCTCAGCCTTTTTTGTTTTTTAATTTGACTAACTTCACACATAAGCCTAACTAATCTCACTGCTGGATGTCAGACAAAATTGAGTTCTTTCAATAAGCCCTTAGGAGAGCGTCAGGAAGGCTTGATTAAAGGAGAGATTTTAAAGTCATAGAGGTCAAAGCAGATTCCTTTTTAGGCAATTCAGTTTGGCATCACTGTAATATGATTATCTTAGTAAGAACACTCAAATTCTAGAACAAAAATATACTAAGCACAGCCTAATAACCCAAGAACTAGGGTTAGCAGTTACATAAAGTGAAGCTGGCTTATCTTAACATTCATCTATTAAGCCCCATTTTGTTTCATGACCCAGGCTTCTTATGAGGCTGCCATGACAACTTAACCTCCATCGCCCTAAGAGGCTGTCTACAATGGCTTATGAAGGAAGGGATAAGAACCAAATTCCAGGTTGGCCTCAGTTATGTCTAAATGTCAATTTGCTTATCCCACACAGTGAAACATGTGAACATCCTGAGGCAGACCTCTCTTAAGGGGATAGAGTCAGGTTCCCTAGTAAGCTTTTCCACCCCAAAGGATGGACAGGAATGTGCTCGCTGGGATTCTATGGCTAGAGGGAATCACAGATATGTGTATCATTCCATTACAATTCTTTACACTCTAGACCTTATGTTCTCAAACCACTCTGTTTTAGAGAAGAGCTCAGTGTTTTAGTCAAGTACAAACATCATCAGTCTACTGTTATTGTGTCCGTGTGTATGTTCTGGATTAAGGCACTTTTTTTTTTTGTTTGGATTACAAACCACATTACTTGATAAATATCAGAGGAACATGGGAGCGGGTGAGTTGGAAATGAAAGTAGACTTCACTTACTCTATGAATACAATCCTTCTAAGAAAAAAAAGATTCTTACAAGTGTTTAGTTTTCTAAATAACTTTATAATAGAGCAAAACCATGCTCTTGTAAAAAGAGCCAAGGTCTTTACTCTGGCGTAATATTCCCTTTTGGTCAAACAGGAAAAGCAACAATAAGGTCATCAATTTTCTCAGCAACACCCATGTCCGTTTCTATCTCTATGCTCCATTAATGAATTTATTTATGCCCTGCTTTATCTACAAAGGTTTTTTCTTTCTTTTTTTTTTTCTATCAGAACCATTAACATCAACTTAGTTCCACTGTGTTTTTTCAAGGGAGATTTATTAAAATGGTGCAAAAAGATCATTTTCCAAAAAAATGTCACCTTCAATTTTCAACACATAAACATTATGTTTTATTCCATATCTCTTCGGATTAGCAATACTCGATAATACTTCCAGCATAGGATGTCAGCAGTTTTTCTGACCCAAATGACTAAAGCCTTTGAGTCAAGATCTGGATTTGCTTATATTGGCATCTAGATAACACAACCTCAACATCTAATTTCCTGATGTTAAAAAATAGTCAAATCCTGGCTTCTCTAATTTAATTATAATAGGAGTATAAAACATATTACCTCAAAAGCTGTTTCTATGTCTCAAACTTTTAAGGCACATTTTTCATTCAATAATATAAACACATTCAGTACAATGCATCTGGCATGTTAAGTCATACTCCATTTTCCCTTACCAAACTTGAAATAAGATTCTTTTTAGATGTATTATCACTTTGCCTTAATATGCAGAGAATCTCAAATTTTAAATGAGTTTTCTCCACAAGGAAATATTGGTAACACTGACTTACCTCCCAGAGTTGAAACAGTTTGAAAATGTTTTATTGCTCAATCTTTGTATTTAAAGAATTACTCATAGGAAGTTAGTGGTGAGTTGGCCCAAACCTGGGTCACTCAAGGCAGGAAGTGGCTGAGAAATTTGTAGCAGATTTTAAACTTTTTTTAATCTGCTGGCCACTTTGGCTAAACACACCAAAGACCACCTACTCCACTCTTCCCCCTCAGCCATCACAGCAAAAAAATCCCCACCAGAGTGACAGGAAGGAGGTTGCTTCTGAGGAAACACCACCAAGGTAACCGTCTGGATTTTATGGAGATTTAATATATGCCAGAAAGAAAATTATAGATTTTGTCATACTATAAACATTAAATAGGCCAGCCCGCAGACCACCTAGGGTTCACTCACAGATGATAGCGTAAATTCCTACTACCAGGACTATAGAGAATGCGGGCATGTGCTAGGTGATATTCTTGCTGGTAAGCGCATGAGGAATACTAAAGCAACACATAAAACTAAAGCAGCCCTGGAAATGATCTGCTGCAACTTATGCAGAAAGTAATAATATCCTGATGCCAGAAAATAAAGTCTCTCTTTTTATAATAAGAGGACTTGAGACCTCTACTCTAAAATCAAAATTGGTTGAGTACCAACTTAAAAATAACTACACAAAGTCACACTCTGAGCCTGGAGACCAAGTTTACTGATAAGTATGAAAAGAAGCTTCATCATAATGAAGAAGCAGATCAGAAGACCTTAATTTGTGGTGATAAGAAATAATTTGAGTTTATTTTTTTTTAATGTTGGATAATTTTTAAGGACAAATTGGTTAAAATGAATGTTGCAATGTTTCCTGAACTACTTGGACTCATTTTTGTGACAACCAAAAAATGGCACAAGGTTAAAAATCTCTAATTCCAAATTTAGTCAGCTCAAACTCATTCCCCATATAACCTCCAAACAATTTAAAATAAGATGGCTTATAATAGAAATACTGAAACTAAAGAATCCTTGAATACTTGTAGATTTTCCCCAGTGCAGTACAAATCCATCCAGAATCTCGACCAATCCCTGAAGTGTCTGAGATATGTTGCTGAAATTCAGAGCTGCGAGACAAGAAGAAGAGCGAGAACTAAGCAGATGGCCTGCTCTCTATGCTCGGTAGTGCTGGTCTCTTGGAGGTCCTCAGCCATGCGCATTCGCATTCGAACTGTGAGTCAGTGAAAGCCAGTGGTAACAGTAAGATAATAATAATGGCATAAATACAAATAGGCTCTGGTTAGAGGGAGGGGATTCATTTACTGCCGCCTGCTGAGGTACATTTGACCACCAAGAGCAGGAAAGCTATTAGCATCCTGAAGTAATGGGCGGAGTGGTTTTCAAACAAGATATTTTCATGATGGACACAATGTGGACTCAGCAAAGTTTCTCCTTCAAGAAAAATATAGCTTCTATTTCAAAGAGCTCTGATTAGGCTTAATACCATTAGGAAACCATCAAGGATTTGTGTTGTTGTTACTGCTTTTAACTATCAGTTACTTTCTAAACCAAAAATTGTGGGTAGTTAACTTGACCGACAGTCAAGGTTTAGGAATGCAGGAGCAAATCCAAGGTACAGACGAGCTTCAGATGTGGACAGGCCTCAAGGAGTTTGGAAGCTTTTTAGGTTGTCAGGTCCTAGCCTTTCTCATCATCACCATTATCACTGTTATTACTTACTTGTCTGGCTTTTATAAATAAAAAATTCATTGCCTTCATCACATTCCCCTTGAAAAGCACTGAATACTACACAAATTTAGGGATCCTTAGAGTAAGCTTTATTAATGACAATGTAAATCAATTACAATCAAAAACCAAATGAAACAAATCTAGCTAAACGAATAAATTCACTATTAACTGCCTATAATATATCCGGCAGATATTTGTTTAAAAGGTCAACAATACTAGTTCCCTTTGTAATTAATTACCAAAAATATAACTGTTTTCAATTTCCATGATACTTGAAAGTACAAATATAAATTAAATAAGATTCAAAAGACCACATATAACAAAGTAGTCTATAAAACAAAGCTAATTTTAAAAGAATTGTTCAATTTACTTGGTAGCATTTATTTTGTTATATAAAATTATTTAAAACAGTACATGTTTTCTGTATCATACATGAAAGTTCACATCCAGATGTCTTTTCTATCAAATCCTTATTCTTTCTCCATTGTCAAAATCTTAATTTTCACTCCTGGCTAGATTTTTCTTCCTTGGCAATTCTTTTTGTTACCCCACTGAAATATTTCTCACGGAAGGAATTATGACCTTGGTATGGCAGAAACTGATCACTTAGCAGATGTGAATACTGGTCCCGGTTCTGGTTGGTTGGAAAAAAAAATAATAAATAAATAAATAAATAAGATTTTTGAATTATTTTCTTTACTTTATCGCATGCAACCAAAGCACTCATTTACTTTAAGCAAAATGTTGCTCTCTGGTGCGTATCTTTTTTTTATTACCTGAGTTAAAAATATATCATTACTTTATATTTGTATCTTGCTTGAGTATCCAAGGCGTTTTCACCTATTTCACCTCATTTGATCCACACAACCCTCTGGACCGAGGACAAATATTTTTACTGAGAAAAGAGAGGCCCACAGAGGGCAAAGAGAACCATCTCAGACAACACAGGTTAAGATGACCAGATGTATCTTCTGATTCCAAGCTCAGCACAAACTGAAATCATACAACGGTTCTCAACCTTTCACAGGGGTCGCCTAAGACCATCGGAAAACACATATTTTCGATGGTCTTAGGAACCGAGATACTGCTCCTCTATCCGTCTCCAGGCCCACATGCAGATACGCCCACATACGAGTACCCAGCGACCCCTGTGAAAGGGTCATTCTACCCCCAAGGGGGTCACAACCCACAGGGTGAGAACCGCTGATCTATAAGAATTATCCAACAAGGAAGTTTCTACACCAAAGGTATATGACAACATATTACTGCATTTGTATAATATCATACAGACAAATCAAACTATTTGGGGGTATATCCACATTCAGTTAAAGAAATAAACTATACCTGGCAATGTAAAGTTATCAGAGCAGATGAAGATACAGGCAAAACAAATGATTTCCCTACTTTTAGACTTCAGAGACAGGTAGGTAAGGACTAGCGCTCCGACTGACGTTTGGACGAGGAAATATTAATCTGCATTAGAATATCAAATTTTCAAGCTTAGAAAACTGAGAGAAAAACACTGAAACATCAACCTCTCATCCAATTTCACTAGCCATATCAAGTCATGGAAAAAAATCTAATTAGAAATAAAATCTCATTTCTCATTATGTCTCTAAATTTACATTCAATTGCATGTGGATTAATGTGATTTTGAGCATAAGTGTGGAGACACAATGAGAAAATATGAAGTCTAATTTTTATCCTGGCTTCAGTATCAAAATGATATCTACAAACATATCTGGAATATAATAATCCTCAAAATATTTTTATATTTTTCCTTACTCCTATGAGATGTGTATCTTAATCCTTTCCCCTATGTCTAACATTAATAAAAGCCCAGGTATAGCCAAAATAAAACTATGTTGGCTGATTTGTTTGTTCAGAAACTATGGGCCATAGAATATTTTTTTAAATCACACAAAAGTCAAATTATTAAACATACCCAGATTTCCTGAATCATTTACAAAAAAAAATAGGTGACTACTTAAATTTTATAGCACTAAGTATATTACAGTTCTAAACTCTTGCAAACACATGAAAATATGCCACTGGTTACTAACTTCAGGCTATATAATCCCCAAAAGATAAAAGATAAATTTTATCTCATCAACCTGTAAAGCTATACAATTAAAGAACACAAATGAAAGGCAGTATTATGGGCCAAAAACTATACTAACTGCTTTATATATACACTAATATAAACAAATCAGCTCTAAGAGGTAAGTATACTATTATCACCAATTACAGATGATGAATTTTTTTGAGTACAGGCCTAAGATAACAGCTGGTAAGTGCTACAGAGCTAGTTTGAACACAGGTATATTTGACCCCCAGAGACTATATGCTAACTACAACATGAGGTTTTCTCAAAAAGAACCAACTTTTTCCCCAACTCAAGAATCAGGAGTATTTCTGGGAATAAATAGGCGATGGACCAGGGTTTTGACAGCTGAACTGCCTGCCCAGAAAGGAACAACATGTATCAGAAGTATATTAACTTAGTTCTAGTAACTACAAGATATATTTTAATGACAGAACTCTCATGCCAGGAGGAGATTTAAGGAGCCGTAGGAATGCCTGAGGGATACCAATAGCCTAGGGATACAGTCAGCGTCAGGGGAGGACTGAGGTCTGGTCCACAACCGGGACAGCAGCGATACAGAACAGTGTTCCAGGTTCAACCTCAGATTGTGCATTTCAACCTTTACCAAGTCTGGCTGAAGAATCATAAGAAACGAAGAGTCATACCATCATCACCTTCTCCAGGCGTTCTAAATTCTGTCCCTGTATCGAATAAAGTCAGTAGAAAATTTGTCCACTTCCTGAACTACATTAGCTTAATTTAATCCTGGAAGAAATGTTTGTACTTGATTATATTTAAAAGCTAAGTTTAGATGCTGACATCTCTCCTGCTACTTTACGTCTCCTCACAGCTCTCCATCATTCTCCACCTAGTCATCAACATCAGAGACCTGGGTCAAATCCCTCTCCCTTTTCTTTTCACTTTTAGTCAGTCCTAAAATCTTACCTTCTGCATCCTGAATATCTCAAGTCCACTTCTCATCTTCACCCAGAACTCCGGTACGGTAGTTAAATGGCCAGTTTTCCTGCCTTCAGCAGCTCCCTCTCTAGTCTATTCTCCACACTGAGGCCAAACCCAACCCATTAAAATGCAAGTCTAATATGCTGCATTCCAGGCTAAAATCCAAATGGGTTCAAACTTTCCCCAAGTCTGAGGCTGTCCCTTGATGTTTGGATGTTAGATTCAATTGCACATCAGTTTGCTGAATGTCCTCACTCTGCTCTCCTGTACAAGAAGGATCAGCACACAGTCAGGCCATGAGATCCCTCCCAGCTTTGCTCTCTGTCCTCCTTTCACCCTATGACTCCTCCAGGCCACGCAAAATCACCTGTGTGAAGAAATGCACCACGGACTGTTTCAGGGAATGTCCTGGAGCTGCAGTGGTGAGCAGGATAAAATAGGACAGAAATCTGTGACTGCAGCATGCAAGCTCAGAAGGCAGAGGCAGGGTAAGACAGCCAGGCACTGGCTGGGACTGACTCAGGCTCAGCTGCTAGTGTGCCTAGGCAGCCGAAGCTGCCAAATATGCAGCTCACTGGAGGAAGCAAGAGACAATAGCTGACATACAACAGAAGGTAGGCTTCCTCTTGGACCAAAGAGAGAGCTTAACAAAATAGCTCGTCTTTGACCAGGAAGATATAAATAGTGCAAACTGGTGATCAAGAACAGAGAATGTAAGGACCGGCCGAGTGGCTCAGTTGGTTAAGAGTTCACTCAAGAGTGAGCTCTGAGCAACAGGGTCACCGGTTCGATTCCCGGACCGGGCTGAGCTGCCACAGAGCCACCAACAGGTGGCAGGATGGCTCAGCTAAAATAAAAGAAAAAGAAAAAAAAAAAAGAACAACAGTATATAAAGATCAGAGTTAGAGACCTGGAAAACCTAAAAGTAATGACTAAAATCTATACTCATTAATGGTTAACTAGAAAACATATACTACCTGTCACATGCTTTATCTGAATAGTTTAGACCTCAAGATTACTTCAAAATAAAATAAAAGCAAAATAAGCCCCTAAGAGACTATGTGTTGAGTGCTACAGGGATCCAGTGGCAGAGAAAGACATACTTACCAGGAAAATTGGAAAGACTTTTAACCTTAGAAATGTAACCTCTGGGGGGGGGGGAATCTTATTTCCTGCACCTTCCATGGAGTAGAGAAGAGTCAATGTGAGGTATGTATTTGAGTCCTATGCTATAAGACTGAATGACCCCTGATGGTGAAATAAAACATTTATAACAAAAACTCCTGGAGAACTCAAAAGCTCCAAATCCCTTGAGTAGCCAGGAATCCTGCAAGAACCATTCTATTACCTGGCAGCATAAATCCTGCTTCAGGGTAAGCCAGACATGCCAGGAACTTTGGTTACCATTTTCATCTAAGTGGAAATGTAATGGTTCATAAAATGTTCCACAGAAAACAGTATATCTATGGTCTACCACATATTATTAATATATCATACATGTAAATATCATATACCTATGAACAATACACACTGCAAATGTACCCTTGTCCATATGAAATATACTATTTGCAATATTCAGCATTTATGTTACCTTGATGCTGATGAAAATAGCTCACTCAATATCTTTTTTCTCTTTTCTCTTTCTCTTTCATCCTATCTTTAGTTTAGTTTACCAGGGCTCACACTTGAGATGATGATATTCAACTCTACATATTTTTCATCACCTTTTCATGCCTCTTTCTCTATTTGCATTCCGTACCCATCTCAAGCAAGAATATCTGCAGATGTTTTGTTTTTTTTTCAACTCAGTATCTTGAAGGACAAAGTGTTTACTTAAAAGGACACGAGTATCCTCAAGCAACACAGCCCTTGATGTTCCTCATAAACTCAAGCTTGTCCCGGTATTTGACTTCTGGTTTCTCTAACACTTCCAAATCTGTCTACCAGTATATTGATGTATCATAAAACCTGAGTTCTGCCAATTTTTAGTAAGCAAGAAATACTTCATGGAAAACAACACACAAAGAATTAGAAAATGCCAAGAGAGAAAACCATGACAATGAAAGATTATAGACAACCTTTCCCAAATATTATAACTACCAGTTAAATTTTGGAACATGGTAGTAAAGAGATATGAATAAAATATTGAGTGTTACAATGTCTATTATTTATCATCTTTTTTATAACCAGAAGGTACGAGTTTCTATAGAAAAATCTGTGCTGGCTACAGATAACTACGTAATTGAAATATTCAGCTTTGGAACTATCATTTAACCTTGTAAGACAAACAGCAATTGTAAATATATCAAGTAATACACAAGTTCTGATTCAAGAAAGAAACTAATGTATATTTACAACTATGTGTTTTATACACGTCCATTATTAAATTTTCTGCATATTTTCACAGCAGATTATTATCTAAATTTTGCAGATAAGGAAAGGGCATCTGAAGGAGTTTAAATAATCTACCACAGATCACACAGCTAGTAAGTAGCACTGCCAGAATTGTAGCCTCGATCAGAATTCACAGCTCATGCTTTTCCCATCACACTTCTTTTTTTATGTAGAAATTACGTCAAAACAATGTTTAAAGAGTTAACTTCCCACATGATAGATTAGCAGGTCGTCCCAAATGGAGTTTGATGTTCAGAGTCCATTCCTTACCAAATAGCAACATTATGGTGGCACATATTTCAGATCTAAACTTTTAGACAGAACCCCTTTAACCACTGTCCCACCCAGCCAATTTCCTGTCCTATCAGTACTAATTCTAAACATAAACCACTCGAGGAATTTTAACACACTTGCCAGAAAAACCAAAGGAAGCCTTACAAATTGTAGCGGACTTTTATGTGTACACTGCCCTCTGCTGGCAGAGAAAGATAAATTCTTCTTTACAGTATTTCCTGATGTGGCTAAAAATGGTTTAAAACAGAGCTGACCATACAACTGATAGTTAGGAGCACTCTGTTTCTCTCAATGCTTGCGAGTCCTCATTGCTATAAACATCTAGAGTCACAGAGCACCAACATGACTAGGATAGCTATTTTCCTTCAGGGAGCATCAGCATTTATTCACACTATTTCATTTTTTTAAAGAATGATGTGGAAATATACAAATACCTATTCACTGGTGGCTCTAAAGTATATCATTGTCATCTTTGTCCAACCTAGAAATCCAAATTATTCTCTAGAAAAAGAAAGAGTACATAAACTAGACCCTATTCAAATTATTCCTTAATTATTTTTACAACTACCATATTTGCCGGCGTATAAGACGACTGGGCGTATAAGACGACCCCCTAACATTTCCACTCAAAATACAGAGTTTGTTATATACTCGCCATATAAGACTACCCCCTCTTCCGCACACCTTCCACACACCAAATAAAAGGTAAAACAATATCAGATTTGATTTGGCCCACTGAAGTGCAAACAAGCGT